AATAATGATCATATCAACGGGGAGAGTCACGGAGAATTTCGAGCCATGCTGACTGATCCCGGCAGACAGCTATAGCAACGAATCAGGTCAACATGAGCATGAGAGGACTCAGTCTAAGCTGGAGGTAGGTGTATCTCATGCATCGCCTAGTTTGTTGGGTGCTTCCTGTTCAGTCTCCCCTCATCGCGACATGCGACAACTTAGGCTTCTATGCTAGCCGCGTTAATTACGCTGCAATGTTCAATCTCTCACTTCATCAAGTTCGAAACATGCAGCTCGTCGTCTGAAAGGAGAGGGTACAGAAAAGGCGGGCCTAGCTCCGTGTACTTTAAAAGCCTGTGGCGACGCGATCAATTCCTGAACCGCAAACCTGAGCTGTTCTGCTCGCCTGCAGGCACGTTGTCCGATTCTCTCGGTGAGGTATAGGTGGCAGGCGTCACCTCGGTAGCAGGCTTCCCTGGCCCTCAATGCATGAAAGTACGAGCCCCTCAGTAAAACAGCTTCAGCCTAAACCCACGGGTATATGTGAGGGTGAAGCTTCCGGCAGCTGAGGTGCCCGTGGCTTTGCCAGTTCCTGGACGCCCCCACTGTCGTTCTTTATGAAGCGCCTCAGTTGAAGTGCTAACAGGAAGTCAGGCAATACATGCACGGTGCGCCTGTCGAACAGCGGTGCATTCTATACACTTCCACTTTGTGTACGGCTCTTCTGCCTAAGCCCGGATCCCTAAACCACGGCGTGATTCGAGTTTCCATTCAAGCTTCGGCTCGCGGGCCAGAGAAGCGCTTGCAGACTTTGTCTGGATGGGGGGGTTCGCTTTATCCGACCCGAGCAGAGCAAGAGGGGTGCTACTCACAATGGCTGAGTGGATTCAAGTACCCGTTGCCAGGGTTAAGTGGGGGTGCCCACAGACTGTGAAAAACTGGAGTGTGTCACTTCGGGAGAACGCTGTTGGGATTTGCTGTCGAACTTCATCTATGAAATCTCTGCAGCAGCAAACAGCCGTGCAAGACTTGAGAAGAGGCTGCACCTCCCCGACCTGTTGCTGCTTCTACTTCTTATTGCCGGGTGGGGGTACAGGCTTCGGGTGCTCGACCCGTGCGACCTCAGCTCTGTTTGGAACCTTGGAGCCTTTAGCCTTTGCAAGCGAAAATGGGGACAGGGGTTCAGCAAAGCTGTGAAATCGTCTCGAGGTCGGCTTGGCAACTCATGCGGTGCTAGCTCGACAAGGAAACTGACCGAAAGTTAAACAAGCTAGAACACCATTATGAGCCTGGGCACAGCGGCGAGGGCATTGTAGTGTCTCTTGAGCCAGCAAGCTTCCGGACGAGCGGTTGAGAACTAGGGTTAGGTGCTGTATAAGTACCGCTTCAGGCCTTGAGTGGCTGGTTTGCTCACGTTTGTGTGGCAGGTCCTTCCTGCAAAAAAAGAAAAGGATCAGAAGCAGCGGCTGTCGAAGCACCCGGCGCATACCGAAAAAAAGATGCCTGTGTTTCACCCTCTCCATCCTAGCATCTCCAATGGCCAGCCTCGATGGACAGCGGACTCTCGCCTGCAGGGCTGCTGTGTGATCCAGTCGTTGAGGCCCCCTCTTTGCATGAAAATCGATATTTTGGAGATCGGACATGGCAGTGTGCCGGGAATTTGGGGCAATTATTTGAGCAAGATTGCCAAGCAAGCTTGCAATCTTGGTCTCCAAAAGGTAAACTAGTCGGCGAGCAAGTGGGGCAAGGAGGGGAGCAGCAAGCTTGCAATAAAAATAAACTAGTTGGCGAGCAAGTGGGGCAAGTGGCCCGAGATGACCAAGATTGCTCGGCAATCTTGCCCCCCCTGACCAAGATTGCCAAGTTTACCATGATGGCTCCGTCAAATAATCGTTCTAAATTCCCGGCACATGGGCCATGGCTCTGACCGGACACAAGCACACAGATAGACGCAAAGACATACAGAAACACATACCTACCTACCTGCTTACCTGCCTAGTATGCCCTTTACATACCTACCTACTTTACTTGCCTACCTGCTTACCTACCTACCTACCTACCTACCTACCCACCTACCTACCTACGGCACTTAGACACGTATGTACATGCATACGTGCATACATATGTACATGCATGCATGCAGACAGACATGACATTTTTCACATTCGCACATACATGTTCATACCCATCTGCGTATCTACATACACAGTCCCTGCAGATACATAGTTGCATAAGAACATACCCCTCTCTCTCTATATATATATATATATAATAATAATACTATAAAAATAATGGTAGTAATACTAATAAGCAGTCGAACATACCTACCTACATACATACGTACATACAACGAAAGTTCATGCGTGCCTGTCCATATAAAGAAGACAAATCTGAGCATGTATGTACATGTTAAAATATAGGTGGATAGAGAAAGAGATAGGTGGATAGATCGACCGAAGAATGGATAGACAGAGTTATAGATAGAAAGGTAGTTAAGCGCAGAGGTACAGTGGACAGAGAGACAGCCAGACTCGACTAGATTACATTAGATTGTATTAGAGTAGATTGCGATCAAGCATCGATACACAAACAGATAGACCGATGAACAGATCGACAGCCAGATCGGAGAAGCGCATGCATTTGCAAGAAGTGGTCTTCCGTGGCGGTGCTAAGTACCAAAACTCGTCTTCGGCAAAACCAGCTTTCAAGTTTCAAACCCGTGGCTGAGGCCGAAGATGAAAGCTGGCGCCTGAAACTCGTATTCCTGAAGAGCCCAAATCCCAAAGTCTGAAGTCGAGTGCCTGCATGAACGTGGATGCCCTTGGCTTTGGTCAGCTCGAGCAAGTGATCCCGGATGTCCTTGACACGGCTTTGCGGGTCAGAGCTCAGGCTCAGGACTTTAGGACTAGGGTTCTGAGTCTGAGTTCAGGGACATTCCATACTCAACATACAGGCGGCAGTGCAACATACTAGTAGATGCAAAAGCTGGGGAGAACGGTGGTAGTGCGGGATCTTTGGCTAAACCAGTCTGCCGACCATCACTTTCTCGGTCAATGCCAGAAGTAGTTGAAATGCATCGAACTTCTGAAATTGCAAGAAGTCCATGTTCAGCTTTACACTTCCTTGCCCTAGGATCCAGTTCAGCGGCCTCGACCAGTACTTGCGAAACCTTGGCTACACAACCGTTTAAATTTACCTGTCTTCGGTTTGATGCTCTCTCGGTGCAGCTCCGGCTTTGGGGACCTATCGGGGTTAGTAGTATAATGTGGACTGATGGCCTGATCGGCGGCGGCACGCACACATCGGGTCAACGCTGTCTTGCCTAGCCTGACAAATATAACATCCAAGTCTGGAGCTCTTGAGGACAGAATGTCTGGACGATCGTGCATGTAAGCTGTGTCAGCCGTCCTCGTCGAAGCCGCGCAGAGGCTTGTCCTTGTCCAGCTGTTGCTTTGTGTTGAACTTCACAGACATCCGAGACTGCTGCCAAAGCACAAGCAGGAGGCCATGATTCCTATGCAAGCAGAGAGCCAGTCCTGTCGGAACACCAAGTGGACTTCAGTGCCATAGCCTCAAACGCTGCTTCAAGTTTGAAATGCTGTTCGTGCATGTCCGGCTCAGGCTACACAACTATGATAGACCATGTCTGAGCATGCAAGCTGCAAAAGGAAGGCTTCGCGGATTTCGACTTGCCGATAGTGCTTTACGCAACCCTGCATCATCTGAGCCACCGTGCCGTGGAAGTAGCCCGCAAACTCTACCGCCTTAGATCTGCTCGGCCACTCCGTCTGGTTGAGCCAACTAAGCACGACTCAAGATGCACCATCGCTACACTGGCTACACAAAGGACCTGCAAGGGCTGAGCCCCCGGCGATGTAGCCGCCACCAATGACCACCAGCTTCTCCGGCCTTTGCAAATCGGCAACGTGCATCAAAATAATAATATGCGGGGGCAGGGGGCGCCTTGGCCTTGATAAGTAGACCAGGGTTTTGGGATTTTCTGTTATAGTGATAATAAAGGAACCCCAAAAAGCAATTTTGGTACGTAGTGACGTAGGGATTTAGATGAAGCTCCTATATATTGTCATGAGCTACTCTCGCCTGTTTGGACACTGAACTGCGCTGTTCAAGGTTGCCTCACAGCTAGGCGGTAAATTGAACACATCAGGACAGCTAAGCCAAGCACTGACGCATGTTCCTTTGTATGTCCACACACACAGAGACATATGATCCACATACATGCATATACACACATATACATATACATGTATATATGTATATACATATATATGTATGTATAAAATATATAAGCACCTGTATACAAGCACAAACACATGTGTGTAGGCATACTGATACTATGAACCGATACCTATGTACATGCATCGTTGGGTGAATCTATCTGTATGTCTGTCTGTCTGTCTGTCTGTCTGTCTGTCTGTCTCTGTCTGGATTTAATCCTGGCTACCGTATACCTATCTAGCGTCATCTATGTATCGATCCATCCGTCCACTTAACTATCTATGTATCTACCTATGTATCAACCTATCTATTCATCGAAGTATCCAGCTAACTAGCTCGCCACCTAGCTAGCTACCTAGCTACCTCTCGATCTGCAGATCGTTCGGTCGGTCTATCTGTCTATCGATCCGTCGGTCCGTCTATCCATTAATCGATCTGTCGGTCCGTCTATCTAGCTATGTAACCATCTATTTGTCTATCCATCCATCCATCGATCTATCTATCTAGCTAGCTGTCTATCTGCATGTGCACGAGTGTAAATGCAAATGCATGAGTACATGTGTTAGAGTCACATATGTGTATGCACAAGGCCTTTGAGTAGAAATCTGTCCATGCTGCTGCATACATACTCTGAACCTGCTTGCTACGATGCTTGCAAAGGAGGCCTCCGGCAGCAGCTCGCTGGCTGGCTTTGCAGGCGGTGTCTTCAGCAGAAGTCGACTGAGAGGCTTCTCTTCAGCAGGCACCTCCTCCTGAGAGGACTCGGTGAGACACGGAAGCTACCGAGCGGACATGGCAGCGGAACGCGAAGCCTCTTCCTCGCCCATGTTCCGCTTCCTCCGCCTCCTGACCAAGTGCGGAGCTGCATCTTGCCGACATTCTACACCTGGCTACGGCTTCAGCCTGGCAAAGTCGTTATTGCGCAGCACGGCCTCCCAGCAGGGCTCTCCCTCTCTCTCCCTCGCTCTCTCCATCCCTTAACGTTGCTGCTTCGCAGATGCAGCTGAGGCATGGTCCCGATCGATCAGGTTTCGCCAGTGGGCATCGCTGCAAAAAAAGCCCAGCCTCGTCGTGCATCAGCACGAACAGTCTCAAATGACGCCTTGCTGCGCCTGAGGATGGCTTCGTTCTTTTCCAGCAAGTGGCCAAACGCCTCTTCCACTGGCCTGTGCGGAGGGCGATCTGTGCAGATTGTCCCTCTTCGGCGGATTCTCCTCGCCTGCCAAAGGAGTTGCCCACCTGCTTCTGCTGCGCCACGCGCAACGTCTCGATTTTACTGGCGCAGCGGAGGCCCACCACATGCTGACCACTTCACACAGCTGCTCGGCTCCTGCTTGGATTTTCCATAAGATTGGTGGCCTGATCTCTCAGTGCACAGAACAACGTCGAACAGATGTTGCACAGCTGTTGCCGGACAAGGCCGCGCACAGTAAGGGTGCGACCAAGTCTTTGACGGAGGCGGAATCCAAGCAGTTATTCCTCAGCAAGCAGTCCCCCATCAACGCCCGTGTCTATAATTTGCAATATAGGCTTATAGGGTTTAGGGCCAACTTGGGCCAGCACTCGAGGTTGAGGTGCAGCAGCGTCTTGTTCCTGAGCTTGCACAACGACCCCCTCGCTGCACGTAAGAAACTCGGAGGACCCTGATCACCCCTGCTTGCAACCAAATCTCGTTTTCAAAGACTGCGCGAGCACGACACCTTCAGCCTTTGCGTCACATAGGGTTACTGTTCCTGATCCACACTGGCTTGCTTTGCAAGGTCCTTCTGCAAGTTGGAGTTCACCAGCGACAAGGTCTGAATGTTGGTGTTCCATGCCATCGCCTGCCATCTTCTGTCCCAACACGACATAGCTCTGCAACGACTCGTCGAAATCATCTTGCGGTACTTCCACAAAGCGATAGATGCTTCCGGGCCTTCGCCAGCTTTGGCGCTATCCGCTCCTGAGAAGCCGCTTAACGACTTCGAAACGACCTCTGGTCTCTCTCAGCTCTTAGCCGGCCTCGAGGTCTCCACGGGGCATGTGAAGGTTGCTGAAATCGAAATCGGTCAAAGTGGGATCCTGCAGGTAGCTCACAGCTTCCACGCCATACTAAGAAAAGAAGCGCCACGGGAGCTCTAACCAGGCTGCATACGACCCACCACACCATGTCTCCATGACTGACATGCTTCGGTCATCCAGGTGCGCACGATGCACCATCCAGATCATCCTGAGCTGTCTCAGCTGTAACTCCTATCGAACAACGGAGCCTCAGTACCAGTAAATATACGAGTATCAAGACTCGTAATTCAACTTCTGTGAGTCTACGGAACACTAGCTGTTATCGACACGAGGAATGCGTCGCAATCTTACAAACTGGACTGGCAAGGTTGGCGACACCTAAGACTTAGCCGCTCGCTGCTTTCAATATGGGTAGTTGTCTAAAATAGGGTCATGTTTTACAAAAGTGCCGTACTATATTGGGGACCTAAACAAGGGACCCTAATTTAGAGAGCTACCCATATCGAATGGCCGATGATTAGGTAGTCAGCTTCATTCAGCAAAGGGCAAGTCGCTCAAGGCACACATCATCGAACGATACTCGACGACTTGACTAGCTTTGAGACGCTTGCGACCATTCCAGTGATCATCACCTGTTGGTTCAATCTGGGAGGGCTCGACGAAAGATTTCTGTATAACCGACAGAAACGAAACTTGTTGAGTCTACTGTAGGGCCTGCAAATCCCGATAACAGTGCAAGGGGAAACACACTTAGATGCCAGAATCGAAACGGCTCAAGGCCCGCACCAGTCTCCGAATGACTTGGCCTTGCCATGCGGTTTGATCTAGGGGTTCACTCCGGAAGCTCAACATGATTACGAGATCATGTGTGTGGCCATCCCATGTGCTGTGGAATACGCAAGGATCGACATGCTAGCAACAAATAGTTGTGGATTCTATCTTAGACGTTGTTAACGCCCGCAGTGTGTGCCTTAGCCGGCTCTTCGATCATGTCAGAGATGTCCTCGATCGCCTGCAGCTGAGATACACGCGGGAGAAAACGACGAACACTTTCGGTTACGGGGACACAAAAAAAGGAACTCTGAAATGAGCTTGATGAGACCGAGCTTCTGCCATGGCCAAAAAAAACGAGATCTGTTCCTACTCTGGGATCAACTCTAAACCCTAAACCTTCAACCCAGCGCCCCAAATCCTAAACCCTGAACTTCCTAAACTCCAAGTCCTTATTCAGCTCAAACCCCAAACCCATAAGGGGCTTGTTCAAGAGTGTCACGAGGAAAAGGTGGTTTCCTGAAGAGTGCCACGGCTCCCCCGAAGCGAATCCCGAGCCTTGCCTCGATCTTCGCTGCAAGCTTCTGGTCGATGCCCGCTGCATCGACAGTCTGCACTTCTTGCACCTCTAGGTCGGTTTTTTGTTTATAGGGTTGAGACGGCTTCGAGCTCAAGTTGCGAAAAGTTGCTGGTTCAAGGGAACTGCCTGAAAGGTGAGATCCGCAGTCGTGCTGCCAGAGGCGTTTGAAGCACTCAACATGTACCTGGCACATGTGCTGCAGCCATGTTTGAGACTCGCCATCCGATGTAACGTGCACAAAAATTGCATCGAGCGCACGTGGTCTCGGGCGACCTTACCCAAATTTCCAACAACTTCATCATGGTGATTCATGGTGCCAATGCCAGTGAACTCCTGCTCGAATATCAACGTCGTATGGAGCTGTCAGTCTTACAACAACGAGTAGAAAGCAACAAACCAGTAACACTCAGGAGTGCTATCTTACTTGCAACTGGAAACTGGCTATGACGACTCCTCCAGTACCATGCGACGGCGACAACGACCACCCCTAATAGTAGTAACCATCACTACCGGCACAACCGATACCAGAAACTGCTTCGCTCCTCCTAGTTCCTCGTACTTCATCAGCATCACAGTCCCAATCAAGGCCATCATCATCGTCAACATCAACATCAGCATCAGCATCGACATCATCGACAACCTCATCATCCTAAAGATTGTCGTCAGCATCCCCGGTCCCCATGGCTACTGTGATCATCATCCTGAACATGACCATCATCACAACCGTCATCAACACTACCACGCTGCCGCCGCCACTACCACCACCACCACCACCACCACTACCACAGCTACCGCCACCGCCGCCACCGCCACCACCACCACCGCCGCCGCGCAGCCAGCCTCCAGCGGCCTTGGAAGGCCGCTTCAAACCATAACTTCTCAGCAGCGAACAGGGTGGGACATGAGTGATTTTGCACAACCACCATTTCAATCATCAATCGCCACAAGCATTTCTCTCATCATGGCTTAGGAAAAAAGACTGATGTCACACTGCAGTCATTGGACAAACAGCGCAGGAAATATGGCTCTGACAATTCAGGCCCTCACTCTGCCACAGGCTGGCCACTGATCACACCCGTCGCCGGATCTAGCACCAGCCCCTGAGAGCCACGGGATTGGCTAAGATGCTCCGAACATGTTGACTTTGGCTCCATGGCTCTTGCACGCTGCACAACGTGGAAGGGGTATACAGGCTGCACAGAATGAAAATGACTCCACACAGTGAAACACTGCAGCCTCAGGCAAGGAGGGCTCCACTGCGAAAGTACAGCCTTCGGACCTCTGCACATTCAACATGCTCCGTCACTCGAAGGTTGAACGCCACAAGGTCGGTCGGCAGGTGTCCAAGCCCACAGCCCCTCAAGGTCTGGCTCGATCGACATCGGCTCGCCCACGGCATAGGAGGGACTGCAATTGCAGAAGAGTTCGTGCGAAAAGCTTGGTTTGGGTGCTGATTTCCTTTGCCTCGCCATTGGATAAGTCAAGTTCTTTGGAGCAGGGAGCACCTGAATTGGGAAAATCCGCCACCGGAAAGTAGGGGGTCTAGGGTTTGGGCTTAGGGCATAACCTCGCAATGGTCACCGAGGTCCTGGCCACGGCGAAACTCAGCTCTGCCGACGTGTGTCCATCCTGGCGAGGTTCAGCACAGCGCAACATTGTCGAAGTGCACTCTGGCACCCAACCAGGGGTAGATCCCAAGATGTGGGGTGCAAATTGAAGGTTCCTTATTACCGGTCCTCCCCGGAGGCCGTCACCACGTACGTCTGTTCGCCACACAGCGCACCGAAAGCACCAGTGATGGCACCTGTCATTCAAAGACAAAATCAGACCTCTCTCCAGGTACTAGCCTGATGGAACTTGCCTTCAGTGGATTACTGAACAAGCAACATGCCTGAAATGACCCTCTCTGCTTGAAGTAAGCGAAACTAGTCCTTCTGTACGGGGCCAAACTCAATGCATGTCACAATGCACCCGTGGTCTCATCCAGGCTCACTCCTTGAGGAAGTGCCGGCTCCTTACCACTGGAGGTCACGACGACAGGTTAAGCCACGGGCCGATGGCTACCGATGGTAGGATTCAGCGCGGAACGGCCATGACGACTCGAGAACTCGAGAACCTTCCATTCTGAACCTGAGTTCCCGGCCACTGCAAAGCTGCTCACAGAGCCCTGAACCTGCAGGCAGCACAAAGCTGCAGAAGCAGGCGGCAACAAAGCGAAGGTCTGTGCCAGCCCCTAATCCGCGATTGCGGATGTTAGCGAAAAGGCATCTGTGCGAGACACGAACTCGTCTTTTCGCTGCATCTTCAAAGCCGGCTTGGGTGCCAACTGCATCACAAGCAAGGACTAGAGGCATCTGCAGGCTATGGCGCGATGCGATGCTTTCATCGCTTTCTGAAATGTGGATGACGTCTCGACGCTTCAACCGCGGATGACGTCATAAAGTCTCGATTCTGTAGTTCGACCCTTATTGGGACGACAGCGTGAGCTTGTAGTCCAAACCTGACAGAAAACAGAGCCATCGGTAATGATGTGATGTTCAGACTGGCAGGAATTCGTCAATTTCGTCCTTACATGACACACGTGCCGCTGCGCAGAGTTTTTGTACTGCAACCCAACCTAACCCGAGGCAGTGTACCCCAGGAGGTGACACGGCCGAGCGGCTGTGGCTGATCAACTCGGAGAAGCGAGCGATGGTCTGCGCAGGTATCGAGGGCATTCCATCGTGACCAAAACCATAACTAGGAGCATTGTTACTAGAGGCCTTAGTCGGCCTCGTCTCATGACCACCAACACCACCACCATAATCACCGCCGCCGTGCTCATCGGCAACATGCCACATGACTCTAAGAGCGGAACACGTCTCTGAAATTGGGCTACGCACAAACTGACCGCTTCTCGCAGGACTGGCCTGGCGGCCGATGTTCCTCTTGACAGTCCCTGGCACAATCTTGTTGATGAACCTCGGCTAAGCGAAAGCATCCACAAAGCCATGATGGGCCACGATGCCCGCAGACCCTTGCTTCCTGTCGCTGAGGGTCGTTTCAGCCTGAGGAGCAGGCCTGCCGAGAGTCATGCTGGGTCTTGCCTTCGGAGCCACGTGGCAGCCACTTTTGGAGCGAAACCGGGAAAAGCTTACGACTTCAATCCCTCACCCAAAGCCCCTGCACCTAGCAGAGGCAGCAGCAGTTTTGCAGATTAGCACCTCGAAGTTCACTACCTTACACACCGGCTGCTGGTGTGAGGATCATCACTCCTTTTGCCGGCATTCATCTTCACGCAACGATTCCTTTGCTATGTCTGCCTACTGAAAGCACTGCTCTTAGCTTCAGTCTGCATCATTGGTCGAACTGGCAGACTGGCAGTGGAGGCGTTGTTCTTACCGCAACAGTTGTCTAGTATATACTACTGCTACTGGACAGCCAGAAGGCAAAAAAACAGGCTTCAAACACATACATGCTTCAATCATTTCTAGAGCTTCCTGCAGCCCTGTAAAACTCCTGTGCGAAGGGCCGGAGTACCCGAGGATCGAGATCTTTGGCACCCAGCCCGAACCCGAGTTCACGCGCAAACCCTACAGCCACTCAAGAACCGCTTCTAAGCAACCCCCTTTACACAATCCTTTTAGGGTTTAGGGTTTAGGGCTGAAGCCTGGCAAGCCTCTATGAAGCCTTACCAAAGCGGTTGAAGAATGGCCTAAGCCCTAAACCCTAAAGGACGAGCCCGAGCCCGGAGCTAAGTCCGAGGGTGGCGTCGCCATCCTCGGCGAGGCGAGAAAAATCCGAGTCCAGCGCATGGAGCTTTGCCTGTTCATTACGGGGATTGGGGATTTGGGATGCTTGTGGACTTGGGGTTCCGGGTTAAGGGATCTCAGGATGGATGTTGCATCATACTAACACAGTCCGCATCTGTCCATCTACCAACCTATCCACATGCCTATCTACCCATCTATCCATCCATCTATCTATCTGTCTATCTATCTGTCTATCCGTCTGTGTATTGATGTATCGATCCACTTATGTGTTTAGCTACCTTCTCTAAACCCTAAACCCTAACCCCCCCCCCCAAAAAAAAAAAAAAAAAAAAGGA